CCCCCCCCTCTCCTCATCCACTACGAGGCACAGGCGGCCCAATAAACTCATCAGAGGGGAGCCATTTGTCACGGCCTTGTTAGTTGCATTTGTAACTTGTAACGGCCATTTGTCACGGCCTTGTATGTTAGCCTTCAAAGTTGTCCGGATTTAGAGGCCAAACCGAGTTCTCCCCTGACCCAGAGACTCAGACGTGTAATATACGTCTCTGCCCAGGGATGTGTAGTGGGATGTGTAGTGGTCACATCCCTACTCTGCCTGACCAAACATCCTAAACAATGTTATTACAACTGCTACGTTTGTTAGGCATTATTCCGCGGTATTACAACGGAATCAGATGAAAGTCTGTGGTATTACTAAAAAAAGGTAGAAGGTCAATATAATATACACTTATATGCTGGTTTTATATCTGAGACATAAAGCCAGTCTCTGTTTTATACGTATCTGGTCAGGAGGGATTGCTTGGGTTATGGGGATCTGGGAAGCTGTTGTTTGATGATGGTGAGGGGGTCGGACTGGAATTACATTACATGTAGTTTGTGATGAAAGCTTCAAAGTTCAGAGGGAAAATGAACCGGGTCATGGTTACGACGAGGAGGGCATTGTTGAGTAATTGACGCGGGCAGGGGGTATTTAGTCTGGAAATGATTAAAGTCCGTGTGGTTTTCTTTACCTGTTTGAGGTATCATCGACTTTTTTTTTTATATCGGTCTGTCGTCGATTAACGTCTAACCGGTATAAAAAAAAAAGTCGATGAAACGTCAGAATAATTCGGACTAGAGGTATCCCTACCAGGTACAGACTCCGATACTTCGACGTTCTTTTTTGCAAGTTTGGACTATTTGATTTAAACATATTTTATTGCAATCTATGTACAATGGGAGGTAGGCACACGCTATACAACTTATACCAAGCCCTTTCCCTACAATATATCATAATAGTTTGTTAAGAGACGTACACAACTTAAACTCGTTTTGTCTGAGGTACGTTTGTTGTTGCTCAGCGTCTAGACATTTATCTGCCTTTTTAATAGTGCTTTGTTGGTCATGCTAGTTCCCATATTCTCGATATTGCTTTCTTATCGGAATCGCTCTAGAAACGTATCAAAAGATCCACGTACGATCCAGTATGGTTTATAAACACTTTAGATACCCCAAAAACATGACGCTCAGTGTGAATAGCCCCTACTTAATTCCATCACGGACTTAGATGGCAAATCTAGTTTCGTGGTTGTATGACACTGAATTCTTAAAATGAGATGTAGGGAGAGATGAAATCTAGTTAATTACCAAACCCCGGTGACTTGGAATTTTCTTTAAAAAAAACCCCATTCATGTAGCCCGTTTTGGACCCGTCCCGTCTCCAACCCCTCTANTGACAAAGTATTTATTCTAGCAAACTGGTTACAGTGTAACGAACTACGAGAAAATCAGTGAACTAATGAACTATGGGTAGATTATGCTCGCCGAAAAGGTCACCGAGATAATATATTTGACCTCTGACCTCAATGTGACTTTGGGCGTACAGTTTGGTTTGGTTTTGGTTTGGTTTTGGTTTAGTATTGTTTAACATCCTATCGACAGCTATGGTCATTTAAGGACGGCCTCCCCTGTGCAAGATGCATGCGTGTAGTGTATATGCCTGTGTTTTGGGAGGCTGCGATATGTTCGTGTTTGTCTCCCTGTGATAGCGCGGAACTGATGCCGACTTTTAAAATAGTGCTACCTCACTAAAACATACTGCCGAAGACACCCAGCAGGACACCTCAACCGGTCACATTATACTGACACCGGGCGAACCAGTCGTCCCACTCCTGAACCCAAAGCGGGGCGAACGCTCAACTAAAGGCCAAAAGTGAGGCATTGTCAAGGGAGACATTAGGAAGAAGAAAGTTGTTTAGAAAGAAGAGAAAAGATAAGATCCCAAATTTAGTCGCCCCTTACGATCATGCAATGGGGGCAGCAGGTACAATTCTTACGCCCTACCTGCAGGGACTTGGGCGTACAGACCCCAGTATTGGTACGTATGTAAATTTGAATGAAAGGACGACGCATATTGATTGGTTCACATGATGTTTATTTCCACAATATGTGGAACTAACAGGGACGTTTCTATGATATTTAAAAGAGGGGGCGTAGAATCAAATCTTTTGCCGAGCGGAGCGAGGCGAAAAAGTTTTTGTACCTTTTTTTTGCTAAAAAACATAAAATAATTGTGAAATGTACTAACGTAACGGTTCCTGACTTGGAGCATGTATATTTTATTGTTAAAGTGTCAGGGTGTTTATGTGTTTAATAAATGAATATGATAAATTGCCATATTCAATACAATATTAGCAGATTACGATAGTTTTTTGGGTTTTTTAAAAGGGGGGGGGGGGGGGGGGGGGTACGCCCATTACGCCCTCACCTGGACCCGCCCCTGACAAATTAAAACCCTACAATCACACAATACAACTGATTACATAATGAAACACAGTGCTCTTCAGTGCATACATATTATATACGTTCAATATGATTTTTTTTATATAAAGGGCTTGTTTATTGGCATTTATTTTGACTTCAAGAATTAAAAAGATTCTCATGAGCGACAGAAAATGCAAATATTGTAAATGTTCTGTGATGATGAAAAACATTTACTTTTCCGTTTTCTGAGAAACATTTTACTACTCAATAGCTATGCATAATATACAAATCGTATCCGTTATTTGAGGAAAAACGTCTAAACAATATATTATGAAATCTGACGGCCTCTGTCTTACGAGGGTATTAGGACGGTGGACTTGCTTTAGAATGATATACATTTACGAAATACAACCAAATAACAATGGAAATAATGTCTTATCTGCAGACAATTTGAAAACAAAATATATATATGATGACTTTTTGTACTTGTCTAAAGTGTTAGTACTAAGGTCTGCAGAAAGTGAATAAAAAGAAAATTAATACATTTTGTTACTTTATGTTTAGTGTGAAGAAATTTTATAGATCTATGGAAATGTGAAACTTTGTTTCTTTTCCCCTGCTTTGGGGTCCAATCTGGTAGGGCCACCGCTTCATTGGAATTGTAGACAAGTGTATTAAATATTAAACTACGGCTGTGAAGTATGGGGATTCCATGCTGCCCCTGACGTAGAGAAAGTGCACATAGATTTTTGTAAGCGCTTACTTAATGTTAGAAGGTGTACTCCAAACAATATGTTGTACTCTGAACTTGGTAGATTACCACTTTGTATAATACGGAAAATGAGAATAATTAAGTATTGGTTGAAATTACTTGAAACAGATAACTGTATTTTGAAAGCCTTGTATAATGATATGTTGTCTGAAGTAAATACAAAGGCCAACTGGCTTAGTAATGTGAAATCAATGTTAATGTCTCTAGGTTTTGGATATGTTTGGTATGATCAGAAAGTTGTATGTAAGAATCAATTTATATTGGACGTTAAATTACGTCTACGTGATGTTTTTATACAAAATATGAACATTTTTTTTGGAAACTCTACGAAATGTTTTTTATATAGATGTCTGCCAGAGGTTAATTGTCTTCAGTATTATCTTTGTAAATCTTTTCCTGAATCTTGTATTTTAACCATTGCGAAATTTAGATTATCTTCACACGACCTTCGTATAGAAAGGGGCAGATATGAGAGAATACCTCGTAATGAAAGACTTTGTTTAAAGTGTAATTTAGGCGATATAGAGGACGAATTGCATTTTATTCTTGTTTGTCCATTTTACAACGAAGTAAGAACACAATACATTGACAGATATTACAGAATTAGACCGTCTAAGTTTAAATTAATTCACTTACTTTCTGTTAGAAGTAAGAGGAAATTGAAAAATCTTTCCAAATTTTTAATTCCTGCTTCACAACTGAGATCAAATGAATAATTACAAGTATGTTGTCCATCCTCCATAATATGTCTGTATTGCTGTGTATCACTCACTCAATTTTGTAAAATGTATTGCAATGTTTATGCTGATTAGCCGAAAGGCCAATAAACTAAACTAAACGTAAAAAAAAAAAAAGACACGTGGTGGCAACTTTAATACGGAATGCAGATTGCTATCTTATTGAGTTTGTCAGTAAGTATATAAAAAATATGTCAATGACAATTGTTTTATTCTCATAAACAATACAGTGTAGATAATACATATATACAAATGGGTGACAATAATACATGGTGGACATTCGTATTGTAAATTAATTATGTAATTAATATCGGTGATAAATTTAGTCAATGATGTCAATTCATAATATAAGACAAGAAATGTAACATTTTTCTACACTGATACCTTATTTTATAAGGTCATTTTGCAACGTTCTTCTCATAGAATATTCGATACGTGTGAGACCTATCGTAGCCACGGACTGGTCATTATGAAAATTACTGCTATTGTTATCTGTTGACCGGAGAAAGGTTCCGATTTAAGCGCACGGGATAACGGATCAGTGCTGCAAATTGCGTCATGTACCAGTCTACTGTATACGCTCAGCGGGCGGGAAATCGTCTACTACTCCTACTACTCGCAACTGTGGAGTAAAGACGGACGATTCCATTTTTCACTTACCCCCTCAAATAAACAGGTAGCGCAGGTCCTGTGTCTGTATCGTCTTTACGTGGAATAGTTTGGAAGCTGTTGTAAATGCCTCGAAAAGTTTATTTGAATTTGTTATATATTTGTATATATCATTACAAAACATTTTAGTTGCAAACTTGTCTACTTGAACAAGAAATCTTGTAGACGAAACTTTGGGAATGTGATCCTTCCCTTCCTCTACCAATAATCGTACCGCCTTACGAGAAAACTTTCGGCTGCAGTCATCATCAGCGGAGATTGTTTTTACTGCCCGAGGTACAGGGAACGGTTTGAAGACGATACTGCAAGAAAATGGTATGTATTTCAACAATTGAATTTGCAATATGAACCTTTAAGCACGAACTAAAACTTTGATGGTGGTATTCTTTCACCAAGTTTTTTCAGGGACATCAAAAGCGTAAAAACATGGATGTCGTAAGTGGCATGCACTGTCAATGTGCACTGCCATTGGCATCTCTCTCAGAAGATAGGAAGAGTCTCGCAGATCAGTTTCCCTGTGGTTGTTGCTAAATTTAGCGTTGTGTGCCATCCAGAATCTCGTATTTCACTAATCTGATCGTCAAAGCTGTACTGAACGCTGTTCGAGTATTCATGTTCGGGGAACGGAGAAAATAACCGTGCAATATTCTTCGTTTTACTTGGCTGTTTTGATGTATTGCCACTTTTTCAGTTCACTGATGTTATGTAAGCCTTCAAATAATAGATCAAGCTGATAAAGATTTATAATATGGTCTTTAACCGTACGTATGCTAATATTAGAACATGGGAAATTGTACGGCTGCATTTTTCTGTGAAGAAATTATAGGAAAACGAATGATACTGATAGTGCTATCATTCTCTAGGGAGTTTTATTTTAATTAATGGTTCATTTACGTGGTGTGGATAACAAAATACAGGAGTTCTATTCATAATCATTGCTTTACGTACGATACAAATGTATGCACCAGTCCCCAGTAATATGACCTTCAAGCTCCCCCCTCCCTCATTAAATTAAAAACATTTTTTTCGTAAAACATATTAGACTGCACTCTATATTAGACTGCACTTTTAAAAACATCCCTAAAAGCAGTTCATAGTTGAAGTGTGATGTTTGGTTTCATTAAGACTTGACTGGATGGAAAATGTGATTTAGATTTGTTTATAATAAAACTGACTGATTTTAATCAAAATTTGTGAAATCATTAATGGGAAATAGACTTGTGAAAACTTGCAAATATAGATGTTATATTCGGATCTTCTGAAGGCTGCATAAAAAGAATTCAGATACTTGCATAGATACTTGTATGTTTCAAATGAATAGGTGGGAAATAAACCTGATCATCTGGCATTTGGAAGTTCCTTGTTTAAATTGATTGCCTTTCACCTTCATGGAATATAGAATTTCTTTCATTTCCCATTTATAGCACGGTATCAAAGTGAAATTCAAACATTCAAGAAAGTGTTGTAAATTTCAAAACATTAAAAAGACTTGTTGAAGAAGTTTCTAACCCTGAAAAACCTCATTAAATATTACAGTTCAGAATAAATTATTGTAAAGTACCAGATTAAGTATTCATATATACGTAGCCGTTTATATATTTTATTTATTTCAGGGCTTAAGTTCTATGCTGTAGGAAAATCTATTGGAATATATTGTCAAATTCTTCCAGGAAGAAACTATCTTCATGTCTATGAGAGCATGCCTAAGCAACAATATTCAGTTTAAAGCCAACTTGAATTATTGTGATTTTATTTTTGAAAAAAGTAAATTTTGTACTCTTTTAGTTGTATAATAACTGAACCGTGTAATGCCTTAAACCTGCTGGTTTTTTTTTGTGGGGGGGGGGG